ATATCGTCCCGTATAACCAGATCCCAATTTTTGAAACAGTTTATTGTTACTTAGTTATCATAAAGCTGGGGTCCGGTCCATGGTCTCATTACCCAGGATGTGTAGGGATTATTATTATAATCAAGAGGGAGCGCTAAACCAGTAGGATTATGCAGCGCCTGTCGGGGTGGGGGGGGATGTGGAAGGCATCCAGGCTTCATATAGGGAACAGGAGCACAGATCCAATTCCCTAGATCAAGAGCCCCTCACCAACATAAGACCATAAGTAAGGAGGAGCACTGTAGTAGGCTTGTTAGCCCAAACTAGGCAGGTCCTTCACAAATCCAACCCACGAACAGAATAAACGCTACCCATGCAATAAGTTTTGACAATTCCATTTAATCACATCCCCTTGAAGGAACCTTCCTTGACGGGGGATGTGTAAGGAGTGCATTAAAATTTTATTATTAATAATAATAATCCAAGAAATTAGTACATACCCGAGTATTAAGTTTTTCGAAGCAGTCGCTGCCTTTGTTGTTGGCAGAGTTGAGATCCATGGCAGCGCAGGTGAGACGCATTCCTTCAGCCAAGGTGCAAGAGACTGCCAGCATCAGCAACGTGGAGATGATAATCCCAGCCACCACCATGTGGATGCTCACTGAAGGCTCATCGTCTCCTCTCGCCTGAAGAAAGCAACAATGCATCACAATCATCAGAAATGAAAAGATATGTTTTTATTCTTAACCAATATTATCATGAAAGAAAGACGTGCTTGACGTTCCAGCAATGGTATTTCGTTTAGTATTAAATACCAGAAGTTTTCGTAATTTTCCAGTGGCATTTCCAGTTGGATAGTTTCTTGTGAGTAGGAATGAGAGAGCTAGAAAAAGCCTGGAGTTAAATTTTCTCTCAAAGTGGCTATATTCCGAAAATAACAATAATGGAAGCAAATACGAAAGTTAATAAAATAAAAGTGAGTTTTACTTTACGGATGGAAATACACATACACACACACACACACACACACACACACACACACACACACCACACACACAACACACACACACACACACACAACACACACACAACACACACACACACACACACACACACACACACACACACACACACACACACACACACACACACACACACACACACACACACACACACACACACATCAGTATATGCAATAAGATCACAGTAGAGGTGATATAATATACAAAACAACCACTGTGATAAAAATAAGGAAATCCCAAGAGCTTTCGTGATTTCGTAACAAATCACGAAAGTGCTTGGAAGTCCACAATTTTTTTTTACGCAGTGGTTGTATATATGTATATATACACATACAATTTTAAATACATAACCATGTTTTTAGCAAGTAGTTTTGAGTACCTTGATCCAGAAGACAATCCCAGTTATGAAAGCCAGTACCAGGGCAGCCACGCCACCGTAAGTCACCCAGGTACAGGTACCTACGTTAGTCCCGAAGCGGTACACGATCAGGTTGGAGGCAGTCTGAGAACGTTATGAAATATGAGGTGAATTCTATTAGCTAACGCTTAAAAAAATATTTATATGAGATTTTAACGTAATTATAATATAGTTTCTTTTTAATAAGTATTTCTCGTAGAAGATATGATGACAATAATATTGGTAACTGGCAATCCTAGTGGCGCTAAAGCTGACGTATGGCACTGAGCTTGACTCTATCATAATTACTGATTCTATGTCATGGTAACATAGTTTTCATGTATATACCTTTGTCTCTTTGTCAGTATTGATAACATATTGATAACATTACCTTGACAGCATTACCTTGGAGTAGAGGAAACACATTGGTGGACTGAGGTCGGACCAGTAGCGTGAGATGATGCCCATTGAGGTGATGCCAATGATGCCAGCAGCGAAGGCGCCGATGTACAGCAGAGGCATACCCATCTGGTACAGAACATCGCACCAGTGCCCATCTTCAGCCTCCGCCTTGGTGCGGCGATTCTCCACCCCTAGAAGATTCAAAGAAAAATACAGCGTTCTGTCCCGCTACTTTGACGAGTCTGCTGATTAGTGTACTGGTGGTGTGTGCAAGAGGGATGATTTGCGGTGATTGTATGTGTGTGTGGGTGTCAGTGTGTGTACTCACCTATTTGTGCTCAACTATTTGTGGTTGCAGGGGTCGATTCATAGCTTCTGGCCCCACCTTACTGATCGCTACTGTGTGTGTATATATATATGTGTGTGTGTGTGTACTTAATGAGTTCAACTCAGTTTTAGTGTGCCGGGGGTCGAGTTTCGGCATTATTCGTATCAATAATATTTGCTTACAAGTCAGTGTCTTTTGTCCTATACTTATGCACTGGGTCCAGGGTGATGCCCCGTCTCGAGTGGTTTACCGTTGTTCTTTTCCTATATTTTCAGTGATTCTGCTTTTTCATTACTCATGGAAATAGGCTGTAAACTCCCATGACTTGTGTCTAGCTCAGTAGCTTCGTACACTCGACCCTTTGTGGTGTTAAATCTGCCTAGAGTCTATTGTTCTGAAAGCTTCTGATCCTCCATCTTGAAGGTCGTATTCAATTTTTATCGTTTCTAATATACTTCTCTCTCATCCTGCTAATGATCCTTTTCTCTTTTTCTTTCTACAGTCTTATTATTTGAGTCTTTAAAGCAATCTTTCTTTCTACAGATGAGATTTTCCCGATGAATTCAACGGTAGAAAATACTGTTTGAAGAACTTATGAGGTACGTCACCAAGGACGTCCAGCTGGTCGTGTCTTAAAGGATTGACGGATGGCTGTGACTGTTACTCTTGTGCTGACTTACCCGCTCGGGTTTAGCCCTTAATTTTAATTTTCCTCCCCGTCGAATACTTTGTTGTTGTTGTTGTTGTTGTTAATGTATTATGTGAGGTGGTAAAATAAATTCTATACATATACATTTCCACAGAAAAAATATTTTACGTGTAGGATAATTCAGTAATCAAATTATGATAACCTTTAGTAAATGCATTCATGATTTTGGTATTTATGGGTAGAAAATGCAATTTTTTTTAATACACAATGGATAATAAACAAAAGGCACAATACTATGACTGGAACAATACACAAATAACCAGTACATAAGACAGAGAAACTTACGACGACCTTCCGGTCCGACATCGCTGTATAGCCCTTGTGGCTTAGCGCTTCTTTTTGATAATAATAATAATAATAATAATAATAATTCCGGTCCGACTTACACCAATTATAAAGTCACATTAACACAAAAAAAATGAATGAGACAGTAAGCTTCTCTCTCCTATGTTGGGGCTATTTGTGTAATACATAATTTCTGAGCGCAGATTCAAGGAATCTTTTCTGTGTGTCGTTCTTCTTGGCGATTAGTAGTGAACCTTTCCAATTTAAGCGTTTGTGAGGTTCGCAGCTTTAACAACGCCTGTATCTCGCAAATGCTTAATTGGAACGACACGGTATTAATTGTCAAGGGGAACGACTGCCTTTAATGAGATAGAGACTTATGTAGTGTCAACACTGTTGTTTGGTTAGTAATTGGATGGGTGAGCATATTCCTGTATCCTCGTCCCCAGTTATTATTTTCATTATATTCACGACTTTGGAAACGGGAAATTGTCAGGTTTGATCCGAGGAAGAGAAGGGTGGCCTCCAGTGTCAAGGGATCCTTATCTTGGAGTACCTTGATAAGACGTGAGTTTTATATACCAAATGATTGAGAGGGAGATTCTGGGGCTTAGCGGACGGAGGATCGAGCCTCCAACACCCCTTACGCTGAATGACCCGCACGGATTTAGCGCTTTATTCATTTTTAATTGTATCCAGAGGGTAAACGGCATACCTTGTTGCAATAAGCAAAGATCTGTATTTCAAATTAATAATCATCTGATAAGGAAACTGTAACCAATGAAGCCTAAATGCACAATGTAATAGAAAATGTATAGGCCTATAGTTTGCATCCTAACATTATAGGACGCTTGGGGAGGGAGAAATTTCAAGGGCGCACACTGGTGGCGCACTGGACGCTGCGAGGAAGACGACCTTTGGAAACATTATTATGCTGTAAATTGGTTGTAAATCATAACCATAATTTTTAAAGGGGGTGGAGGGGTAAGCCAGCGGAAGGTCTCGGTCAAATAACCAAAATCTCTAGCTTCGGGTCATCATATGACTTAGACCCGCGCCAGGAAACACTTGTCCTGTTTCTTAACGAACTTAACCTAACCTTACCTCTGGAAACAATTCTTTAATGCCAATAGCAACTTTCTCAGCGGTTCACGGTAGAAGAATTCCAAGTTATTTCCACGGGTACATAAAAAATTTTTTGGGTTTAGCACTTTGAAAATTTCTAACGATTTTCACGCCTTTCCACTTCGTAGGCTAGATTATATTAATTTACGTTCTGATTTCAAAATGAAATAAAAACATCATTGGTGCTGAAAAAGATCATCCATACTCCGGGCTGATCGAGTCGTATGAGTAATTCTCCAGGAAGTACCTGAGTTTTAGACGGCTGATGTGGATCACATCATGGGTTGAGGAGTAGCATACCTTAGTATACTTTAGTATACCTTAATATACCTCTGTTCATTTCAAGTGGGATATAAAATAAGCTGAGTTAGAATTACAGTTCTTAGCCTATAAACTGAGCCTCGAAAATGTGTAAATATAATAAGAGGCAATTAATACAGTTACTGCAGGTATCACTTACTCATTTCACCGCGCCGCATTATTGTAGTTGAGTCCGAAGACCCGCAAAAGATACGGTAGTCACTGAATCACAAGCACACGTACGCAACTTCCCTGCTCGAACAAGTTTTCCAGATTGACACAGAACTTTTTATGTGTACGCCTCTGCTAATACGTCCTTTGTTGCGATAAAGATAAGTTTGTTCCAGTGCGTGTGGAAGTTTTAGAGGTGTGTCTCAGGCGGTGGAAATGAGTCAGCGAGGAATACGGTGCAGATCGTCCCGGATCTTTCTTACAACTGAATAGCGTCGTGCGTGTGGGACAACACAGCTCTTGTTATCAAGGATTATAATAAGATAAGATATGATCATTTGCTGGAGTGCCTCGTGAACCTTTGGCTAACGAGACCACATTTCTCACATTTTATTAACAACAGGTTGTGACTGAAGGTAAGTTATACCTTACTAGACAATCAGTCTAGATCTAACTCAACAGTTACTGGTGATATTTTCCCCTTTTTGGATATGAAGTGATAATATCGGTATAGAGAGTTTATTTCTCACAAATATTCGTACGTTTCATATCATTTCAAAGCATCTCTGATAGATTTTATTTTTTTAAATTTTAATATTTCCAAGAATGTTTCCGCTAAACAATTTTCAACCAGAGTTAAAGTACACAAACGTCCAGCAAATTACAGAGAACTTTGTCTGAGCCAGAAAACACAGAATTAAGGAATGTAGCCTATATGGTCGCTACTAGTTCAATTTCCTCAGCAACTCTGGCACCAATAACAGTCTAACACTTACATAAATTCCTCCCAGGAACCATATTATCAAGACGCAATAAACGGTCTTTCGTAATTAAAACCACATAACCTCCCGTGTTTATGCCTTCCTGTATCTATAAAATTTTATACACTGTCTCCAGAATAGTGGCGGGGCAGAAATGGATGTGTAGGCTTAGCAGGTAAAATGAAGACCACCTACATGGATACAAACAGGAAAAATCTAAACGAAAGAAGTCACAGAGGCTAGAAGTAGCAAGTAGTAGAGTGCCGCAAGGGTAACTCTTAGGGTCGACTGTGTTTTTCATGTGTAAACTACATTGTCAACTGATTATACTCGTTGATAATGCATGCGTGAACATAATGCAGTCAGTATATTTGTAGGGACGGTTAAATTGAGCTCAAATACTAAGTGCGAAACGAGAGGCATGAACTCTTTGTACGCTATTAGGTAGCGACCGGCTTTAAGTGGAGTGTAAAATCTTGCTCCGGTAACCCAGAGGATCCGTAACCATTTACTGCCCATCATTTCACACAGACCCGTGTCAGGAGATGCATGTCCTGTTTTCTGATGAACGAAGTGGAGAACTCTTAATCCCATGTTTCCACGACCTGAACCTTTAACAGAGGACGGAAATTATTTGCTATATCATTCATTTCACGAAGAGAATTGATAGTTTTACGAGATGTTTTAAACCCATAAGGAACAGTGTCTGGGGGAACAAGAAGAATTCAAGTTTGATCTATGGATATTTTATGCAAAGAAATGTTAGAATAACTAGCTACTTCTCTGTAGAGACTGTCTAACGATACATGCTCTACTAGGAGATTTCCAGGCAACGATATGGAAATACAAAAGTACGGAGAGACATAATGGAGCCGCTACCGGATGGAAGTGAAAATAAGAGTCATTTACACACTGTTGTTGGCATCAGAGTAGGAAAACCTATAACTACAGCTTGACTATATCACCTAGCCTGTGACTGCTGAAGTACAACTAACAGTAAAACCGCAAAACAGGCTGAGGAACTCATTTCCTCAAACTCCTCCTCTCCTTACCCATTTCTACTTTGTATTGGACTAATGAAGCCACTGTGTGGCGAAACGTTTCCTTAATAAAGATTCCCATATGTTGCATAAGTGTCTCAGTCTTCAACTTGTCGGTTTTCAAAACCATTTATCACACAGAAGTAAAACAAATGGAAGGGACCGCAGGGAACTCCTGGTGTACTGGATGAACCAACCTGTGATTATACCTTAATTATACCCTAACTGTGCCCAGTGGTAGAATAAATGGAAGGACAGCTTGTGCTGGACCAACTAGGCTGTGTCTGATTCAACTCTTACACTGTCGGTAAGTAGTCTCCATTGGACCGATATTCGTAAAAAAACAGGATTTAATCGAAAGTTAAATGGAACAAAGAGATTACTTCACATTGCTTTATATATTGCTACTTATACTTTGCACTTCTCTTTGCCTTTTCTAGGAAAGATAATGATTTGCGTGAGTACTGTTACTTGCAGTCGGGATATTGTCTGTTCTTCTTGGAAAAAGCGAGAAAGACGCCATACGATTTTATTATTTAGCCACTGTTTCTACGGGTGGTATCTGAGGATAAAATGTGTAAAAGATGGGATTAGTGTTCTAACAGCCTTCAGTAAAAGTCTCAGAATATATCCTTGAAGTATTATATATTTCGAGGCTGTGGGTCCCCGCACTTGGACCTACGGGAGAACCTTTCCTTCTGTATAACACTAATATAAGTTGTAATCTAATGTTATCTAATTGAAACGCTAAATATTTTTTCCAGTGTGGTGTTGATTGAACTATACTGATTAAACTCTAGAAATAATGACAGTGGGGTTAAAAAATGTAGCGACACAGATAATTATTATTATTATTATTATTATTATTATTATTATTATTATTATTATTATTATTATTATTATTATTATTATTATATTATTATTATTATTATTTATTATTATTATTATTATTATTATTATTATTATTATTATAAAAAGAAG